TAGGTAAATGGATGCACCTTAAGACCATACCTTAAGTGAAAAAAATCAGACACACGTTTAAATACCATGTTCTCTGATGTGAGAAACAGGAAGTGTAAATAAGGACCAAAATGTACAATAGGTATTTTTAAATGGGAAGAAAATACATTCAAATGAAAAGGAGAATAAAAGGGTTTGGGCCCAGACAGGACACTGCAGCTGGTAAAGCCAAGGAGCTCCTATCTCCCCCACCTTTAGGAATTTACCTCTGGCACCAAACTAGTACCAATGGGCTACCTGTGCATCCCTAATGCCCCCTCAGGCACCACCCCTAACCTAAGCTACATATAGGCCCCCACGCCACGTGTTCCACAGAGAAATCGAAGACCCCAGGGGTGGAGATGCCGAGCCCCGGGGGGTCAGGGTATCTCTCCCCGCATTCTCAAAATAAAGGTCATTTATATTTCATACTTCTTATCTTTTCAGCCGCCGCTGGTCCCCCATAGTTCTATCATATGGTTCTCTGATGAGGAATGGCAGATGAGAGACTCCTGGGGCTGGTAGACTCCTGGGGCTGGTTCCCAGTTTGAGTCCCCTGCCATTCAGGACCAGGACTGGACTGCATCCTGCATTAATTCCTCACTTCTACACTCAGGAGCTGTAACAACAAACAACACTGACCCAATTTACCACAGGTGAGCAACTCCTGGAGAGTGCCACTGGGCCAGGCCCCAGGCAACTTTTCTCCCCCTTTCCGTGGGTTCCCGTGATGCTCTCATGGGAACTTTCTCTCAGGGTCTTTCTGGGCAAACTTTGTCCACTCTGGACCACCCACACTGAGAGACCCTCACATTCTTCAGAGCTTTTTAAGTTCTCACAGCAGAGCTGTTACTTAACCCACGTAAAGTCCACTCATAATATTGGTGACGGCCAATTATTAGGAGTTTTGGAGCCATATAACCGATCAGTCTGCAGTAAAAAAAAGTGATGACTTTAAGCCTGGCAGACCACGGTCTGTTGCCTCATCTGATTGTGACCCCATGGGCTAAATCCCACACCAGATTTTATCTCAGGGACCACTTCCTGTCCCCCTCCCAGAAACCATACCTATCTATGGCTTATCACACTGCTGACAAGCTTACAAAACTCTCTATCTTTAAGCCTTTGTTTTGGGAATGTGTCCTTTCCCTCCAGCATCCCCATCCCTTTGTCTTCTTGCTGCTTCCCCTCCTCCTCGCCACGCTGCCAGCGTCCCTTTGTTTCCCGTGCGTGCCAACCCATTCCCCGCCAAGATGAAAAATGAGCCCAGACAGTGTTCAGAGATACTCAGGGGTCTTCTTTGGGCAGTTTTGGACTCTCGCACTGCCTCCCAACTCTGCGCGCAATGTCTCAGCTCTTATACGGCCAGGTCCACGCGCAGTTCAGCATTAATACCGTGCCCTAATCCACACGCCCTGCGAGTGGTTCAACCTAAACATGGCCACTCAGTTCCACATCAGTCCCGTTGGTGGCCGCACGCCTCTGGGAGCAGCCCCAGCTTCATGCTGTGTGGGGCCGCCTTCCAGCCCCGCTGCCACCACCGCCACCACAAGCCTGCCAGCACCTCCTCCACCTTGCACATTTCTGGGGGCAGTCCCTGCACTGCCCTCCATACGCCATTGTCGCCGCTGCCCTGAGTGTTTCCCGGGCTGTCCCAGCCCCTCCCTCCCCTGTGCGCCATTGTTGCCTCCGCCTTGCACATTTCCAGGGGCAGTCCCAGCCCGCCCAATGCTCACCCCGCCTCCATGCTAGGCGTGCTCTGCCGGTGCACCGAAAAATAGCAGTTTGGCAGCTCCACTCAGACATGCTTTTTTTACAATTGGGCTCCGCTCAAGAGATGCTTTTTTTTTTTTTATTACAATTTTATTACAAACCATTTAATCAAGGTTAGTGGCCACCTGGTAATTTTACCAGCCTTGTTTATCAATCAAAGCCTCCACTAATCTCCTGTTTTAATGACTAAAATTAAGAGATATTTATCAATTCCTTTTGCTATGGACCATCAGTAATGTTGTATGTTGGGCTTATTGCCTGTATTGTACTGTGTTGTCGCCAATCTCCTGTTTAACAACTAAGGTTATAAATTCATTTTGCTGGGAACCACTAGCTCTGTTCCAAGACAATTATAATTTTATTTGTCTTGGTTCATAGTACTGCAAATAACAGGCTTAAAATAATTAAATGTGTTCAGAATTTGACAGTATTAGATCACTTTTGGTAGATTTATTCATAAGCTTGGTAAACTTTTACTGCAAAATGTTTCCATTAAAATGAGATTATACTCCAAAATAGAAAGGGCAGACTAAAGCCTTTTTTGTCAAGTATATAATTTCAGTAAAACAATGGCCTGCCACGTGACACCCTAAAAAAAAAAAAAAAGAGCGGTATGCTATACAGATAAAGCCTGCTCTCTGATCTAAAATGCCAATATTAAACTCCTACATACTTACTTAATTCTACTGTAGTCCAAATCCCAAACAAAAAGGCAAAACATGACCTTCAAACTCCACAGAGACCTTAGTATGGCTTTTCATATTTTCAACAACAGAAATAACACTTATGACACTTGGAGTTCTGAGACAGGTAAACCTACACAAGGTGGAGCTGCCTGGCCCCCCCACCATGGACCACGCTCAAATGCAGCAAAAGACATTGGGCAAGAGAGTGCCCCATCCTGGCGTTCTTTGAAATCTTACTCCAAGGGCTGCTGGACTGTCCTAGCCACCAGAGAGTGGGTAAGCCATCCTAACTTCTAGCCCTCACAGGAAATGCCAACACTTCCAGATTCGTTACTGACAGAAAATTGCCAAAGACTGAGGGGGCTCAGGGCCAGCAGCCCCCTTTGTGGGTGTCTGTCTCAGGTCCAAGTCACACTAAAACTCTCAGGTAAGACATTCTCTACATTTGTGGACATAGAGACCATATGTACAGAGTTTTTCCTGAGTTTTCAGGCTGCTATAGTAAGTCCTCAATCTCTATGACAGGGTATTGATGGTCAACCTATGCCATTTATAAACAGGGCCTATTTTGTGCAGGTCCCAGTCCTAAATCTTAAAATGCCTTTTATACAGGCTGACTTAGACACACTGAGGCCTCAACAGCTTCCACCTGTTATCACTAGTAAACCTCTCCTCAGTGATATAAGACTACCTTCTTCTTTTCTTATTCACCAATTTCTCAGGCAACCCTAGTCAAGGCTGATAGATAAATTTTGTCTTCTCACTTTGTTTATACTTTTTCAGGATACATAAAAGCCTTTCCCACAACCAGGGAAATTGCTGTTACAGCAAATCATTCCAAGGACTACAACCAGGTTACAGTGAGCCATACCTGCCTGATATTCTTGGCAACCTCAACAGTGATCAGAGTTGCTAGACTGCCATTCTGGTTTCGCATCACTCAGGCCCTAAATCTAACCATCCTTTTCCTACTCATCTCTGCCTTACCAAGGCCTCACAGCCACAACTCACAGGCTAAGTCATGTTTTGTTATCCACTTTGGTTCCTAATTTCTTACGTTCTATTAATGATCATTTTTACAGCAAGACTCTTACCAGTATTTCCTACAGACTCCAACATCATGTATACCAGAGACAAGCCTTACCTACCTACCCTTTTAACTTTTACCCTTTCAGATGGGGGAATAAGCACCTCTCATAACTTCACTCCTCCTAACCCCATGTTTAATTTTCAGAATTCTGCCTTACTGTGGAAAAGCTCCTACCTCAATGTAGTCCTGATATAATGACATGTCTAAATCAAAGGCACCTTTCATTCTACCTCATCTGGGTCATTAAATATGACAGTGCCATGTCTCCTCATAACATCTTGTCTCTTTGTTTTTCCAGTCTAACATACGTGCATTCACCAGTGAAGTTGTCCTGGCTAAAACATCTGGCACCAGCTTCTACATGGACATCAACCGTCATCCCATGGACTCCCCTACACCCCTGTACAGCGCCCTCTGCCAGCAGGAAGCAGCTAAAGAGAGAAAGCTTTGCTCCTTTTCATAATAATAATCATAAGACGGGATATGAAAGGGTTTTGGCCCAGACAGGACACTGTAGCCGGTAAAGCCAAGGAGCTCCTATCTCCCCCACCCTTAGGAATTTACCTCTGGCACCAAACTAGTACCAATGGGCTACCTGTGCATTCCTAATGCCCCCTCAGGCACCACCTCTAACCTAAGCTACATATAGACCCCCACTCCACGTGTTCCACTGAGAAATTGCAGACCCCGGGGTGGAGATGCCGTGCCCCAGGGGGCGGGGTGTCTCTCCCCGCATTCTCAAAATAAAGGTCATCTATATTTCATACTTCTTATCTTTTCAGCTGCCGCCAGTCCCCCACAGTTCTATCAGAGAATGAAGGAGGAGGGAGGGAGAAAGGAAGGAAAAGACAAGAAAAAAAAGAGAAGAAAAAAATGGAAACTGCTTTTATAAATAAGGAGGGAAAGGGGGATTGCTGGGAGGGGAGGGGAATGGCCAAAAAACAGAAGCAGCAAGATGTATCATGTACATGTACCAATTCTCCATAATGAGTGTTATCATTATATATACCAATAAAATTAATTAAAAGAAAAGAAAAAGGCCTGTGTTGTGGTTTAAATCTAGAATGTCCCTCAATGCCTCCAGCATTCAGAGGCGGGGTTTTAGGAAGGCCAGCAGATCAGGGAAGGGAGAGTGCCTCAGTGAGGAGTCACAGCCAGGAGCGCTGTTAGAAGGTGGGGCTGGTCAGAAGAGAGGCTCTCTAGGAGTGTGACCCTTTCTCTTTCCACTTCCTGGCTGCTGTGGGATGAGCTTGTCCCTGTGCTCAGGCCCTTCCACCAGCGTGTTCCTGCCTTGGAGCCAGCCCATCAGGAACTGTAAGGAGGACCAAGTACACCTCTTACCTTTACACTGTGGGTGTTTTGTCCCCAGGATGGGTAAGAAAATAAGACATCTTCACGCATACTAACCCTATTCGAAACTCTCAGTAACTCACCAGGTTTCCCATCCATGCTTTCCAGATGAAGACAAAGCCTAGGAGAGACTGGTGACCAGCACGATGGTATGGCCACCGCTCCCTCCACTGGTCCCAAGGGCAGAACTCTCAGCTCCTTTGTTCACTCTTGCTTTGTCCCAGAGAAGACTGCGCTGCATTTTCACGCTGCAATAATACAACCTTAACAAAAGCATGGAGACGTGGGGAACCAAGAGAGTTCAGTTTTGGGGGCCTTAGCACAGGCTGCAGCGTGACTCAGCACTGGGGGGGAAAGCCTCGCATGGCAGCGTGTCTGCCTTGTGCGATTTTTCTCCATTGATTTTTTTTTTTCCCCTTCACTGCCTGCTCCAGCCTGGACTCGGTTAGTGAATGAGGCCTGGCGGCAACGCGAAGACAGAATGAAAAGCTCCCTGCGAGGCGCTGTCAGGGCGGCTCAACCTGGGCGCCCCGCACTCTGGCAGGCGGAAGAATCCTTTGTCTTCAGACGGTGACAAGAGGAAGAAAAAATCCCAACTATTTGGCTGTGTAGCATCGCTCAAGCATGCCTTAATGGGAAGGGCTAATGAGGAATGTAGGCTTTGAAAAGTCCAGCATTAAAAAAAATCCCAAAGGGTCTCACTGTATGATTCCACACAATTATAATTAAGAGGATTCAAACAACAAATCAGAGATTATGTTATCATTTTACCCAGTGTGATCGCTGTGGAACCTGCTTTCCTTTACTGGCTATGTTCAAAGAGACCTTGGCCTGTTATAATCAAATGTGTACCAGAAAACATCCCTATTCTTCCTGGAATCTATGGGGGTAGCAAGAATAAGAGAATAAAAGAAAAGGCAATTTTAAGCTACCAAATGAAGTCCAGCTGCGCGGGGCCTCCCCAGCCCCTCTCTGGCGTTGACCTATTCACGGATCCCTGCTCCAGAGTTTATCTCGACCCAAAACTGGTTTCAAACTGCATCTAGAGACACAAAGATTCTGGGGTGCAAAATTCACTTATGTTTCTTCCCCAGGGATTTTAAAAGCACTCACCTATAACACTGTGCTTCATGTCTGATAAAAATGCTTCTAATTAAAAGGACTAGGCCTACAATACTTCAAAAGTGTTTGAGGGGAGATTGTATGTAATAAGGTTATCTCAATGAAACTTTTTCCAATTTCTTTCTTTTTCTTTTTTGTGAGTACATATATGGCTGGGAAGGGAAAATAATGGATACACGTAATTTTTTGTTTTTTGTTTCTTTTTCTGTTTGGTGATGCTGGGGATCAAACCTAGGCCTTACACCTCCTGGGATGGAATGTGATGATGGAATGCAAAGCTTTCCTAATTTTAAAAGTCTTTGCTAGGGGAGGGGTCATGGGCAGTTATTGCTTAATGGGTAGAGACCCTGGGTTTAGGAAGATGAAGTTACAGAAATGTAGAGAGTGGTGATGGTTACTTCACGCTGCTGGGTTGTACACTTAAAACAGTGAATATTGGAAACATTCGTTTACAATAAAAAGATTGTCACTTTTTTAACAAAAACCATTACAACAACAAGATTACAAGTTCATAACTTAAAAAGATTTAAAAGATGAAAACATAAATCATTTAAAATCCCACTACTCTGACATACTTTTAATACTTCTGTAGATATTCCCTCCCAAATTATGTTAAATACATACACAATATTTAAACGTGAATAAATAAAATTAGGATTGTATTAGGCATATTATTTAGCAATCTTCTCAGTCAATATGTGAATATAAATATATTACATATATATTTTATCACTTTTATCATCATTTTCATTGGACTCATAGGTGATTGGGTATAGTTGATGATAAATTTTTCCATATATATAAACATCCTTGTACCTGCATCTTACATGATTGCTTTTTCAAAATAACCCAGAAGTAAATAATTGCTCACTATGCACATCATTAAGAGTTAAATGCCAGAGATGGTGGCACAGGTCTATAATCCTAGCACTCAGGAGGTTGAGGCAGGAGGATCACAAAGAGTTCCAGGCCAGCCAGGGCTACATAGTGAGTTCAAAACCAGCCTGAACTACATAAGGAAACCTTGTCTCAAAAAAAAAAAGAGTTAAAGCCAGATATGGTAACTGATTTATGCCTGTAATCCCAGCTCTCTGGGAGACTAAGGCAGGAGGATTGCAAATTCAAGCCCAGTAAGGGAAATATAGCAATTTAGGGTAAACCTGTCTCAAATAAAAAAATAAAGAAAAAGAAAAGGGCTGGGATGTACAGTAGCTCAGTGTGAAGGCCCTGGATTCAATCCCTAGTTCTCCCCACATATACATTATGCACACACACACACACACACACACACAAATGTTTGCATCCTTTGCCAATTTGACATTTGTTTTTGTTTTTTTGATACAGAATCTCACCTTATAGTTCAGGCTGGCCTTGAACTTGCTGTACAGCCCAGGTTGCCAGCTCCTTCTGCCTCAGCTCCCAAGTGCTTGGCCAGTGCCAATTTTGCTTTCGCATGTAAGCACGTGTGTACATGTGTGTTTCCTTCTTTATATGTAATAGCTCTTTTTACATTAAGGATCTTATTGACATTTATCATATAATTTTAGTTTATGGAACTTTTGCCACAAAGATGTTGTCAGTTTTTTACTCAGTTAAATCTACCTTTTTTTTCTTTCCCTTACAATGTTTGACTTTGGTTGTCATGCTTTCCTTCACTCAAATGATATAAATATTTACCTGTATCTTTTTTAATACTTTTATAGACTTCTCTAAAGTATAATATAATGAAAGTCACATATGAAATATCCAGGGCTATTATCATATGCAATAGCTAAAGACTGGAATTTTTATCTTCTTCATCTAACATCAGGGATAAGATAAAAATCCAGAAATTGCATATGTAATCAGTTGATTTTCTACAATGGTACCAAGTCCATTCAATAGGGAAAAGAAAATTTTTTTCCCAACATGTGATCCTAAGGAAACTGAATATCCACACGCAAGTTAATATACTGGACCTTGCCTAACATTATATATAAAAAGCAAACTCAAAATAGATTAAGGGACTAAATATAAGAGGTAAAGCTAAAAGGGCTAGAGTATAACTTAGTATAGAAGTGGGAAAAAAAAAAAGCTAAAGCTGTAAAACTCTTAGGAAGAAGAAAAAAAAGAAAAAAATGACATTGGATTTGGCAGTAAAGCTTTTGACCTGACACCAAAATCAGACAAGAAAAAAAAAAAGGTGTACTGCATCAAATTTAAATTGTGTACATCAAAGGGTACAAGAGATTACAGAGGCCAGTTATAGAATGGGGAAATATTAGACTATATGAAGAATTACAACTCAACAACAAAAAGTAAACACTCTAATTTTTTATAAGCAAAGGAATAGAACGCACATTTCTATTAAAAAAAATACACAGATGGCCTTTATGTACACAGAAAAAAGCCACTAATCATTAGGGAAGTGCACATCAAAATTACATTGACCAGCACTCTCCAAAGCTGAAGCAGGACAACTGCAAGTTTGATCCCAACCTGGGCAATGAAACAATTTAGCAAGTTCCTATCTCAAAATTTAAAAATTAAAACAAAAGGAAGCGAGATGAGAATGTAGCACCGTGAAAAGACCTTAGGCTCAATCCCAGTACCACCTAAAAACAAACTTCACTGAGATGTAGCTTCATCTATACTCATGAAGAATGCTATAGCCAGGTATAATGATGTATGCTTGTAATGCCAGTGCCCTGGAGGATAAGGCAGGCTTGCCGTAAGTTTGAGGCCAGCCTGAACAACAAAGCAAGATCCTGTCTCAAAGATAAATAAATAAAAAGCTTTTTTAAACTATTATTAGAGAAAAATAAAAATTGGAAACAAAAAGTCCTGGAAAAGATACAGAAATTGGAACCTTTGCTCATAGTCAGTAACTCTGTAAAATGATTAGCCGCTGCTGTGGAAAACAGTATGATGGTTTCTACGAAAACTAAACGGGATTACCACCACATGCTCCAGCAGTTCCACTCTGAGGTACTAAAGAAAGGGCCTCAAACAGACATCTGAACTCAAGTTCACAGTAACATTCACAATAGCTAAAAGATAGACACAACATACACTTTCATAAACCAGTAAATGGATAAAAACAAAGTGTGGTATATCCACGTACTGAAATATGATTCAGCCCCCCAAAAAATGAACTTCCAGCAGAGTGAGATAGTGCACACCTATAGTCCCAGGTTCACAGGCGGCTGAGTTAGCAGTATTATAGGCAGTCAGATAGGGCTGGGCCCTCAAAGGAGCCAGTGCAAAAGTTCAGGTACCTTGCAGCCTCGGAAGAGACACACACTTCTCGCTGTGGGCCAGATCTCAAGACAAAAAGCAAAGCAAATAAGCCCACATCCTAAGGATCAACCAGTAATCCAAATAGTTCTCTGTCGCCCTGAGGAAGTCAGGAGTCAGCATCCTAACCACTACCAGGAGAGTCACTGCTGTTAAGCATTCTTGCTTACTATGTGACTGGCTTCTCTATTTGTTCTTAATTTAATAAATTTTACCTGAACAATTAATCTTATGGGTTGACCATAGTTCTGTCCCACCTTATGCCCACCTTGCAAATTCCCATTTTTTCCCCATATTGCATCTAATCTCATGATTTTAATATTTAAAGTCCCTAAAAAGATAGTCTTTGGCAACCTGCTTGGGACCCTTTTTGTCTCTCAGACAGAAGCTTTTTTTTCTCTCAATAAATATTTTCTGCTCTTAACCTCTATTGCTCCTAAAATTCATTCTTCGACTTTTAGAGAATATGAACTCCTATCATACACATAGTAGCTGGGGAGTTTCATTCCCCTATATCGATACCACAGCAATATAAGTGCACCCATATTTATAGCACACTGTTTGTAATAACCAGATCATGGAAACAACCTAAATGCCCATTGATTGAGGAATGGATAAAAAAGATGTGTATTTTTATACAATCAAGTACTAGTCAGTCATAAAGAAGGATAAACTAGGGACTTTTATAGGTAAATAGATGTAACTTGAGACCATACTCATTAGTGAAATAAGACACATGTGTAAACATTGTATTGTCTCACTAGTGTGAGAAGCTAAAAGAAACAAAATACATATATGTGTATGTATATAATAAACAGTTCAGATAGTTATACTACTGATTTCTCTGAAGAGAAAGATTCCTACTGGTATTGTTCAGAAAACTGAATGCAGATGTCTGGTACTCCGGGTGAATGACAATGTGAAATGTATATACCACTACCCTGATTGATATGTTTTGAAATTTTTTTTTCCTGGTACAGAGATCAAACTCATGACTTCCTGCTTGTTGGACAGGCACTTATGCCACTGAGCTAAATCCCCAGCCCCTGTTTCAAAATTTTGTTGTTTTCTTTCTTTTTATTCTTGAAATAAAATGAGTTGGGAAAAAAAAGAATTAAATGGCTCTAGTTTTTATCTCTGGGCATTACTTTAAAATCTAACCTCTCACTAACTAAAGTTCTTTAGGGCTGGGCATGGAGCTGAGGGAGAGAGTATTTGTCTAGCATGCCTGAGGCACTGGGTTCAAGCCCACCATCACAAAACACTTTAAAAAGTTCATCTTACATCATGTCCTAAATTTTTATCTGTGTAGTAAGTGCACTTCCAAACTTTTAATTTTGTTTCATGCCTTCACTGGCTAGCTAATTTCTTCCTGCCTCTGTTGGGTATAACTTCCACCCAGGGAATCACACAGGTCTAAGGTTACAGTAAATGCACAGGGACAGAGCCTTACACCAATACTGGGGGGATATCCTATCCCCACCCTACAACCTGCAGTTCCCAACCAGAGGCAACCAGATGGAGATCTTTCACCAGTAATTAGTTATACCTATGCAGAAATTCATATAAAAGGAATAATTCAGTATGCATTCTGTTGCACCTGCTTTGTTTGTAGAAAGTTTCCAGTTATACATCAGAATGTATTGATCAAGCACTATCAATTACATTTTTATGATTCTTTGTATATTAGAACTCTATTACGTTTTGTTTTATGACCGGCGCAGCCCCCCAATGAGACAGAGGACGCTCTTGTGGGTAACAGGTAACTGCCGCTTTATTTACGCAGGCTCTGGTTTATATATTCGGCCGTGACCAATCACAGGCTGCCACGAGGAAGCAGGGCGGGAATGGGACGCAGGCTCTGGCTAATATATCCAGCTGTGGCCAATCAGGGGTTGCCACAGAGTCGGCATGGGGCAAATACGGAGTGAGCACGAGGTGCGCAGGGGTTGGCTAATTTAGAGAGGGACGTAGCGCATTGCGGAAGCTGACGTGGTCTTATCGTCCCAGGCGGGGTGTGTTGAGCACCTGCGCCCGACAGTTTTATATTGTTTTGTTTTGTTTTTTTTTTTGTACGATTCACTGATTTTTTAAAGATATGTTTACAGAGTTGTACAACCATCACCACAATATTCTTTGAGAACATAAAATGACAAATTTCCAGCACCTCAAAAAGAACAGTGGGACTGAAATGTGCTCAGTGATAGAGAACTTGGTTAGCAAGCTTGGTTAGCAAGCCCTGGGTTCATCCTCAGCACAGAAAAGAAAACAGAGAGAGAGAAGGAGAGAGAGGGGTAAGAAAAAGAGGAAAACCTCATACTATAGTTACTGTTTACTCCTATCCCTGGTCTTAAGTGATCATTAACCTTGTCTCTTCATATTTGCCTTTTCTGGATATCTCATATGAGTGGAGTTATATGAGTTATTTTGTGTCTAGTTTTTTTTTTTTTTTTCGCTGAACATATTTTTTGAGGCTCATCCATCTTGTAACACATATTAGTACTCAGTTCTTTTCCATTATATGCCATTATATGCCAAAGAGTATCCCATTATATGCCAAACCACATTTCATTTATCAAGTCTATGAACATTTCCGGCCAAAGATATAGCTCAGCAGCACAACACTTGCCTGGCAAGCACGAGGTCCTGAGTTCAACTTTCCAGTACCCAAAAGACAGTCTATGGACATTTGAGTTTTTTCTACTTTTTGGCTACTGTGAATGATGAGGCTGTGGGTGGCCGAGTATCTTTGTTACAGATACACGTTCTTATTTCTCCTGGGTATATACTTAGGAGTAGAATTGTTGAGTGATAATGGTATTCTGGTAACTACCTGTTTAACATCTGAAGAAACAGTTGGCCAATTTTCCAAAGTGGCTGTACTATTTTACATTCCCATTCCTTCAGTGTAAGGAAAGGTTCATTTTAATCTCTCTAAAATGACAACATAAATAGGACAATCCAAGAAATTCTAAGAAGAATCCATCTTTTTCCCCCTGCTTGAGAGACGGGAGATGGTTTTTTTCCATATAACTTTCTAAATCTCTTCTTTTTCACAGTTTCCCTGGACCTAGAGAAGACATGAATGTTTCAATGATCAAAATCATGAGTTAAATTGAACATTACCTTGCCAAGGCCTCCCTTGTCATGAAGAAACACTCTTTCCTGTTCATTCACAGACACAAACCCAATTTTTAAGAATACTCATTAAATCTCTTTCATACAAAGAATCAAACAATTACCTTCCTCACCTACTTGTAATAGAAGTATAGACTGCTATGAAAGTTCTTTAACTGAAAAGAGGAACAATGTCTTTTACATTATTTTATTGAAATATGAATGTACAAAAGAGAAGACTAGGACCACATTTAGTTCCTTGAACTGCTAATTTCATTTAACTGACAATGAGTTCTATGACACAAAATCTCATTATTTATCCATGCAAGATCAAATTGAAGGAAAAAAAAGATCAAGTTGAGGTTTTAAGCAGACATACATCACATGAAGCTACCATTTATCAGTCTACAACAAATTCAAGCAAAAAAAAAAGAAAACTGAAAACAGACAAAATAGAGAGTCAAAGAATATTCACATTATGGGTAAATAACCCCTGGAGAAACTACATTAGGAGATTTATTGTAGTAAATTTTACAGTAATACAAACTCTAGAAGGAAACTAAGATTTAATGTGAAAGACTTAGGCCATTACATCAGGGTCCGGTAATTGCATTATGTTCTACTGCCCACTTAGGTAGGAACCTCTGCACAGTCACCATGTTACACAGTCAAATATTCAAGACCCATTTTTATTTTTGTACTGTTTGTAGTATGAAAGGAAACAACAAAAAATTTTGGGGGGAAAAAACTATCTTCAGAGAAACCCAAATGAATAGTTTTCTGTCTATTCTCGTATTTTCCTTAACAATTAACCTATGACCAAAAGAGAGACTAGATCATTCTCCCACAGGAGAGGGAGAAATTCTTGACCCATACAGAGAAACGATGGTTGAAACCTAGTAGGGTCAATCAACCACTTCAGTGGAGAAAAAGAGACAAAAAGGCCCATCCTGTGAGAGACGGAGGACGAAGAACTACAGAATGACATTTGGGGATGGATTTCTACTTAGGTTCCTAACACCTAAGAAAAGACTGGGTCCAAGACACCCCATGACTCTTTCTGTTTGCACTCTTGGCAGAGTAGAGAGATCACAGACTGGAAACACAATGATCTTCCTCATACTTCAGCTTCCAGCTTCCATGCAGTGAGCCCTCTCAAAACAGTGCTTGGGGGATATGAAGAATGCAAAGTGGGAAGTGGGCAAATGAGGTCCGGATGGGAAGGCAGTAAGCACTGATGTGTCACCCAGCCAGCTACAATGGGCGGGTGGCAGCTAGAGACAAATTCTGCAGGCAAAAGCCTAGGAAAGGTTACAACTCAAGAGCCTCTGCAAGTGAGGGATGAGAGAACCGGGCTGTCTATATAGCACTCCAGCCAGCTATGGTGGGGGGCAGTTTGCTCTTGATAATACCCATCCTGGAACCAAAGGGAGGCAAAATAAAGCTCTTAAGCAAAGAACTCCAGTGCTGATGATTGGAGGTGCAGACTACGTGCACAGCACTTCCTGGCTCCATCATGTCTAGGAAACCTCTTTCCTCATGTACAGAAACCAGTCTCAGTCTAACAAAATAATAAATGAGAAAATTTAACATAATACGCGCTCTGCTATGCAGAATAAATGTAAATAATGTTGTTATGTATTTTGTCCTTTTTACCATAAAGTCCTCCCTTTTTTATTTAGCTTTCTCTGTAAAAGCAGCACGATAGTCGCAGCACTTTACAGTACCTGAATTCAGAAATTTGTAACACATCTTGGCCCAGTGGAAGGAGTCTATATCCAACTATTCTTCAAGGTCAAATTCACTGACTTGCGTATATAGGGGAAATTATGACAGCAATTCTTTCAAAAGAGTGCCAAATATTTATTGAATTGGAGACTTTTAGCCAAGAGCACCACTATGCAAAGTATGAATGCAACGGTGAAGGATAGGACTAATTCCTTTAACCTTCCTCCTGCTGTCTTAGACTTAGGTCAATGGCTGCTTTGTTTTTGACTTGCTGCTTATTAGTAAATACTCAAAAGTAAAAATATGAAAAACAAACAAAACACTCAACAAACAAGGCACAAGAGAAAAGTGCCAGCTATTTTCCACCTTCCTTTCCCCCCAAATTCACTCATTCCCCATATTCTTTCAATTACCTATCTCAAAACCCAACATGTGTATTTATTTCTGGAATCCAGCCATATCCTGGGTCTGAATTCCAGCAGTTCATTTCCCAGTTTCCAAGAGACAAGTCCTTAATACAAACTTCTCTGAGGACACACACACACACACACACACAGACACACACAGTGATGAACACTTAAATTATACTCACACAACTCTCACTATTAAAATTCTTAACTTTTCAAAGGAAAAGAGAAGAACAATTAGTTCTACAAATGCAATCTGTCTTCCTGCCTTCCAGGAAATGTATGGTTCAGGACACAATTTAATATCCAAAGAACTAGGCACTTAGTCTAACTAACTAGGAGTACTGGCTTCCACTTAAATTGTCTGTTTTGTTCCAAAGTCATGTCATAGTTATTTTTAAATTTTGAGTTCTTCAGAATGTTAGGATCTTTCTGAAACAGGATTCCAGAAACCAAGAATGGGCCAGGAATGAGCCAGTTGAGCTCAGACCATAGCAGGCAGCAATGGCTTTAAGAATGATGGTTGTACGTGGAGTTTCCAGGGTTACACAGAGTGCTATTAGGAAACTAAGAAAGTTCATGGGAATGGAACTAGAGCAGGTAGAATGGGCATGGAGAGAGTCAAGCAATAGCACAAGTTAGAACAACATAGCACATATACCACATTGTGAATTCAGCAAGAGCTAGAAAGTGCCAATGAATGAAAATAAGACAAGATTCGGTAAAGCAGACATCCTGCATGAAAGACTATGTGTTGTCGTCCCCAGCTCATAACCGGCCTCCTCACCAAGTTGAGTGGCATGATCTTGAAGAGTTCCAGCAGTCTGCAGCACAAATTTGTTTCCCTATGTTAGCCAGAGTTCACACGTGTCAGCATTAAACTGTCTAATGTTTATTTAGTATTTCCCCTTGGGTGCCAGGCCTGACTTAGGGATTGAGGTTTTATCATAGCCTACCCATGGGATGAACCTGTCTAGCCTGAACAATCAGAGCAACAAACCGACACAAAGCAAGGGTGCGACGCGACTGGAGGGAAGAGTAGCAGGAAGCAGGGTCTGCGAAGATGTGGAGGGTCACACTTGATTGCTGGTATTGACACACACACACACACACACACACACACACACACACACGCCCTCACTCCCTTAAAGATGTCACCAAGCTGCCCCATTTCTCCCCCCAGGGACTTCTGGGAAGATGGTGGTGCTAAGCAGCAGGGAAAACAGCCTCTCTGAGAGTAACTGTCCAGTCACTGGAATGTAGCACCGTGAGGAAGACAAAAAGGAAAGAAGTGGGTCCTTTGGACCCAGGAAGAATCTAAAGTACAAATTGAAGCCCACAGAAAGAGTGGGGAAAAAAAACTTCGAGGAAGAAGAAGGGAGTAGCCAGCAGCTCCTTCGCAGAGACAGGAACTCACCGGCCAGAGGAGCTGTTCGAACCTGGGGAAGCAAGGTCACCGTGAAGGTGAGGGCCGGTGACCCCGGAGGCCGTTGCAGAGAGACTCAGCAATGGAGGGGAGTGGGCAGATGCGGAAGACTGCACTGGTTGGTGCTGTTGGTCCTGGTATTTCATGATTAAGATTAACTAAGGGTCACAGAAAATACTGTGCCACAGTGCCAAAGAACCAGGAGTAGGCCCAAACAAGCAACAACTCCTCATCTCCAACAAACTGAAGAGGTAAGATCTTCCAACAGATTCAAAACTCAAAAACCAGCTACACCTGGAAGATATCTCAGAGAAATAACCATCACCCAAGGATGCTAACTACCCACCAATAAAGCAACCCACCATAGGCAACGTACAAGCATCACCCCAGGAATTAATCTAAAAAGAGAGAGATAATAAAATGAGAAGACACTTAAGTAAAATGCAGTCCCAGACATCCAGTGTGCCAAAGGCAAATCCAGGGACAATGAGGTGGGACAATTCAAAAGCCTCCTACAAGGTTTCTCTAAAGTTGAAACAGCAAAGCAATTGAATGAGGCTCTGGAAAAAAATGAATTCAGAAATAATCTCTCAGATAACTACAAAGATTACCAAAATACATACCACACTTAGTGATGTAGAGAAGACACAGACAAAAAAAAAATAGGCGAGCTTAAGAAAATTATGGAAGATCAGCATAAGAAAGAAAGGGAACCCATAAATCAGATTCAAGCAGATATACAGGTATACAGGAGAACAAAAACTCCATTGGAAGTATTCAAAGCAGATTAGGCCAGTGTGAGGACAGGATCTCAGATATTGAAGACAGGCTTATTGTTAGCAACCAGAAAAAGAAAGATTTCTCAAAAATAGCAAGGGACCATGGGAAATCAATACAGCTAGATAAGACAGGAATAATTATTTCTCCACCAGTTAAATAGGCCATGGGGTAACACAGACAGAAGGCTTATTTGGAACTACAAAATAACACTGCAGTTTTTGGAATGAGTTTTTCCAGACTGAATGTTTTTTGTTGTTGTTGTTGTTTTTGTCTTTTTCCTTTTTATCGGTACTGGGGATCGAACTCATGACTGCCTGCTTCCAAGGCAGGCGCTTATGCCACTGAGCTAAACCTCCAGCCCCCCAGACTGAATGTTTAAAAGATCATAAATCTCATACTACCTCATTTCTTGATTTTCTTTCCAATTTCTTTGTCTCTGAAGTGTAAGTAATAGTGGACTCTCACAGTGTTGTGAAGCTCCTGGGACTTGGGGTGTCCAGCACAGAGTAGGACCATGGTGAAGTTAGGCACCTCTCCTAACTCTATCTTTTAGAAGGCCTCAGCCTGATGTAGACCTAGTAAGTGCCTAAGAAGAAATGTACCTGGGGGAGAAAAGAGAAGCTGGCTTTAAGAGCCACCAAAAATCTCAGAAGCCAGCAAAAATATTTAGGAGCCATCTTTCAGTACATGTAGTTGGTCTATCATCACAAGGGAGAGATTCACAATATGACATCCCTTCATCTCCTTCATTTAATTCAGCCCCTCTATGGGCTGAATTAAAGTTAAAATTAAAGATGTATCCAGATCAAGGTCTTTTCCACCGCTTACAATGCTCTGTGCATCAGACCCTATCTAGCTTTCCATCTTCCTCTCAGGCCACTTTCTCCCTGCTTATCATGCTCCAATATCACTGACTTCCTTTTGGTTTCTGGAATATTACAAGACTTTCTTGCTTTGGTTCAGATTAGTTCTCTTGGATTCTTAGACCTCTTGGAATGTCTGATTTCTTTTCCTCTATCAAGTGGAACGTCAAATATTATCTTGTCTGAAAACTCATCTCTAATCGCCTATTTAATGTAAAACCTGCTCCCTAGTGTCCTAGAGACACTACCACTCTGGAACATTTCATGGTGGTTTGTCTTTGTTTTCTGTTTTGCTATACCTTGAAATTATTCTGCGCATACATAGTTGTTGCCAGTCTTTCTACTACACATAAAACTCAACAGAGGTTGGGCATTTGTTCAGTGTGAGGTGGCAACTGTGGCCACAATACAGAAAATAGACCAAGTGTTGTCTTTGTTATATGAGTTGCCTATTTTGACTGGATTGCTAGTATCCTGACACACTATGCACACCAGTCCCTCCTATCATGGTCCCCCACTAGTCTATACTATCATAGCTTACTAACATCTGGATCAAGTTTTGTCAAAGCACTATTGCATAGTTTAATGCAGTGTACAGATACTTGTAACAACTCCACTGGGTAAGAATGTTCCATTTTCAAGGAGGCTCAGGACAATACTATATTAGCTGCATTTGTGTTTATCAAACCAAGAAATTTTATTTTTACCTATGTTATTTAAAGTCAATTTCTAGCTATCATACTCACATACTTAAATTTATTAAATATTTCTCTGCCTCTATTGGAAAAAAAAAAGAGGCTCAGGAAAGCTAAGACACTTAGCCATGGTGCCAGAGCCAATAAAGACCATGGTAGCAATGAAACTTGTTTATGGACTCCCAAACCTCCTACCATTGAAATACGTACTTTCCTATGCTGGACACCTTTACCCAAAATGAAAAAAAATTAAATAAAATAATAAGAATTACAAACATCAAAGAGCATTTAAAAGTAAAAAATTAGATAAAATCTCCAAGAAAAAAATGTAGTTCAAATGCAGAAGGCTCTAACAAATAAATGCAAAGGAATGAAAAAATGCAATTGACGTAAGCACAAATTCTGACGGTTCAGCTTCTCTGTCTGCCAAGTTAGGAACGTGGGAAGGCTGGAAAGAACTATCACTTCCATTCTGCAGATCAGACATGCCAATGGTGTCCTGAGGTATTTTTTATGGGAAACCACTAGAAGAGAGGGATCAACCCTTGGGGTTAGTGGTGAATCATTGCTTCGCTTTGTTTCAGGGAGAAGCGCCCAGAGGTCAGGGTGGGAAAGGCAGATGGGCTCCTGGGATGGACCAAGTGGGAGTGCAGCGATTCTGGACAAGATGCTCACTGTCTGGAACCACATCAAAGGCTGAGATGTGGGAGAATCTGTCTATGGCTTAGTTCAAATCCAAAATGTCCTTTGAGGTTTTGTTTCTGTAAGATTGATAGAAAGTCTCTCATTATGTGTCTCCAATCACTGTGGGCTCACTAAAGTGAGATGAATATGTCTTCAATTAAATTGTGTCCTCTGCACAGGAGGCAAAGCCTTGGGAATGCCCTGGCTTTAAAATAAGGCAGAATCCTTAGTGGCATGAAGATCCACTTGGCACATCAGCATGCTACTTGAAAAAAAGCTATGCCTAACAACACTGAAAGGCTCAGCAAGTTTAGCTTGTGTCTCAAGGCACGTTAACACTTTAAATAATGCCTAGGTAACTTTTTAAATATTAAACATCTGCGCACAGGAGTTTTCCCCCAATCTAATGCAAATCAATAACTGTTTACCAAATATTATATGTGTGTAAAAGCAACCCATTTGCTTTTGTTTTTAAAAATAGGCTTTTTCAGTGTCCTATGTGCACACTGCTCTAGACAGCTTTCTAACACAAGACTTTAAAGATCCTCTCTGCAATTTCACTTTTATGAAATTGTTTTGCATAATTTAATCATCGTGGATAACAGAAAAGAAGGAAGAAAGAGGGAGAAGGGAGGAGGAAAGAGTGGAAGGGACAAAATGGCAGAAAAAAAGAAGTAAACGAAGATTTTGTTTATTTATGTATGTATGTATGTATGTACGTATGTATGTATTTTTGAGACAGGGTCTCACTATGCAGTTCAGGCTGGCCTTGAGCTCATTTTGTAGCCCAGGCTGGTCTTGAACTTGTGATGATCCTCCTGCCTCAGCCTCCTGAGTGCTGTAAAAGTAGGTTTTTAAATTCTAGACATTAACAGTCTAATAGAGGAGTTCAGATGCCACAATCAGAAAGTATTTACTCCTTTGCCAGCTGGGGACACACATACACATACAAACACACACAGCTTGTGTTTGCTAAAACAGAAATACCTTGGCAAATAAATGAACTTTGTGCCTCAGTTTTCTGTCTGCATAATAACAAAACTGAATTTCTGAGACTCCTCACAGCGCTAAAATACTTAGCATTTGCTGAGGATTTTAATGAGTGGCATTTTGCCAAGGAAAAGCAGGATATATAGCACGAATAAAATCCATGTGGCCTTGAAGAGATTACAGTTTCACAGGATGCTAAGTGCAAACTCCTAATTAGAAGCCACGGAGAATGAAAGTGCAGGGGAAGTGGGAGGAAGGAAGGATCCATACAAGTGAGACAGAAGTAGCTGGAACACAAGGGAAGAAACAAAGTGGTTTAAGAGCACCCAAGAAATGAGCCTTCCTGCTATGAAGGGCGAAGAATATTAAAGAGAGAAGTAAGAAACACACAAAAACTCAGAAGGATTTGTCATAGTAAAAGTCAGAATACTGGAGCTGGGGATTTAGCTCAGCGGCATAAGTGCCTGCCTTGCAAGCGCGTGGTCGTGAATTCGATCCCTGGTACTGATTTTAAAAAGTCAGAATACCAGAACCAGATGTAGTGGCACATGCCAGGATTCCCAGCCCTTTCGAGGCAGAGGCAGGAGGATCACTCTGAGTTCCAGGCAGTCTGGGCTACAAAGTGAGTTCAAGGCCAGCATGAACCACAGAGCAAGACTCTAGTCTCAAAAAAAAAAAAAAACAAAATTCAGAATACCAAGCTGTTCTAGTATGACACCTAGGAGAGGATGAGGAAGATAACTTCATAGTCACTAATTTAGTTTCTGGGAGCTGCCTAAAATTCTATTTCAATTCAAACTCAGGGACTGTGGCTAAAGATCTGGTAAAATGGGCTAGTGGCTGGGTATGGTGGTGCATGCCTGTAATCCCAGCACTTGAAAGGCTGAGGCAGGAAGATCACCACATGTTCGAGGCCAGCCTGGAACAGGTAAGACCCTGTCTTACAAAACAAAACAAAAACACGAGGGCAGGCCCTTTTCCTTAAATTGCAAAGTCCACATTTGAAGAGCCCTAAAAAGTACTTTTCCATGTAGAGATGCCAATGAAAATACAGTATGGCCAAGAGCAGTGAATGGCCCTCTCACTGCTTGAGAGTCTTGAATACCTAAAAGAGTTGCTTGAGCAAACAAGTTTTGTTTGTTTGGTTTGGTTTTTGGTTTGCTAGGCAATCTTCGTGCCTCAGGCTCCTGAATGTTAGGATTATAGGAGTATACCGCTATGCCCAGCTAGCACAAGTATTTTATAAAACCTTATGGAACTAAGTATTTTTAAACTTTTTCTGTTCCTCTAATAGATTTGAAAACATATAAGATATAAATTTCATATTGTACCCAGATAATAACTCTAGCATCAAGACAGAGCCAACTGTGTGGCAGGCAACGGTGACTGAAAGTCGACAGCTCAGAGACTCTACCACCAGAACACTAGGGTTCAAGTTCCAGATCTCCCACTTACTAAGAGGGAGAGCTTCAGTGAGTTAGTATCCCACTCCTCACTGGTAGCTGTGGGGTATGCTATTGAATACAGAGTTGTGGAAATGAAATGAACTGGTGGCATACATCTCCTGAGATACGGAGACACAGACTGCACTCAGTTAAGTGTGGACTGATGTGGCTGTTGATTGCTGCTATTGTTATTACTTAATTGACCAGCCCTGGGAGGAGGTGTGTCCCCACTGCAGGTGCAATTGCTTTTCCCACACAGAGTGAATGAGTCATAATCACAGTACTTTGCCAACTTCCTGAACTATTGAATTGCCGAAGGACTCACATATAATCACCATTTTTTAAAGTTATCCTTTCTTTTTGAAGTTCACAGATGACAGAGGCTCTTGCTGGTGGACCCCACCTTTCCTTTACAAGGCCATTAAGTCCCAAAGAAAGCAATTACAAAATGATTTCTTTTATTTCCACCCTTTGTGGTTCTTTTCCCTCTATTCATTCTCCTGCCTCCTTTGCAGCAAAAGAAAAATGATACTTGAGGCATTATACCATTTGTCACCTGTGACCTGGCAGTCCCAGTTGTATGTGCCTTTCATGTGTGTGACTCAGTGTATGCTGTCCCTTCTTTTCCCCTGAAGTGGGGGCTCACCCTGCTCCCAGAGAAGAGGATGCACTTAGTTAGCAGTACACAAGCTAATGTGCACTTTTTCCATTGTCTCAAATGTTCAAATCCTCTAAGGTAGCAAAATAAGGCCCAGGGTCCCCAAAAATATCCACGTTCTAACTCCTGGAACCAGTGAATATGTC